TAAGACAAAAAAATGCTATTGTATGAGTTGTTGTTCTAAACTAAAACCTCAGTATTCAGGTTTAATGGTATTGTTGGTACTCTGCAATCAGTAAGTAAGTGGGCACTGGGTCTCTAAAAGTTTCACCATCACTCTAGTTCTCTGGTACAACCTCCATGGTCTTCCCAGCTCTGCTATTAGAGACTAGGTGGCTTCCTCCATCTTTGACACAACCATGTCCTCTATTTGACCTCTCCCTGTCCTCCCAGGAAAGGGACTAAGGGTCAGTCCAGTGCTCAGCTCTTCTGACTCAGAAATGCCTAAAGTCTTCACACATCAATGCCAACTTCCTTCATCCTCCATCACGTCAGAGGCCACACATCTCTCAGGTGTATAGCACATATTAGCTAAGACATCACAGAGGTGTCAGCCATGCAACTTGACATCATAGCAGAGCCTGCTTTAGCCTGCCGTTGGGAGTCCCCTGAAGATAGAGATCAGCTCTCTTACTCTGCTTACAATTCCTCCTCTCACACTAGAGAAAATAATGTCTTGCCTTCTCAAGAAGGAAGTGCAGTAGCCTCCCTAAGCTGAGGAAGATGCCAGTTAGGACAGTAGGCAGGATTGCAAGTGGGTGGGCAAAGCCAGAGGTTTCTAAGAGCGTCAGAGGAAGAGGAAGAAGTATAGTGTTCATTGGAATAACATGTTTTACTTTTGAGAGTGTTTTTTGCACTTTTTTGTAACATGAACCTCAACTAAACTGTCTGCTAATGAAGTCTGTGCATACATGGGCCTGATTTGTCTTTGTTCGTGGTAGAACTCAGTACAGAAGTTTTGCAAGAGACCAGTGGAATAGTATAACCAGACTGTTCTTGTTTGCTCTTCAGATCAAGCCAGTGGTGGGAGTATTGACTGGTCCTATGAGTCAGGCATCAAATATTCATTTGCCCTTGAACTGAGAGACACAGGCAGATATGGCTTCCTCCTGCCAGCCAAGCAGATCTTGCCCACAGCTGAAGAGACCTGGCTTGGCTTGAAGACCATCATGGAGCATGTGCGAGACCATCCCTATTAGAGATCTGTGGAGAAAGAATACCATTAAAATCTCTTTGGTTTAAGGGGCTGGGGAGATGGCTCAGTGGAATAAGTGCTTCCCTGGCAAGCGCAAGGACCTGAGTTCAATCCCCGGTTCTGCCAAAAATAAATAAATAAATAAATAAAATAAAATCTCTTTGGTTTAAAGCAAATCTGGATTGTCATTATTCCTTTCTGTAATCTGGGAGTGCTATGTTTTCAGCTTTTTTTTTTTTTTTTTTTTTTTTTTTGGTTTGTTTTGTCTTTGTATTGCTGGGTATCAAATTCAGGGCCCTGTGCATGCCTGTAAAATGCTTTACCATGGAGCTACACTCCAAGTCCCTATTTCTTTAGTTTTTCCTACCCTAAAACACAACCAGCCACGGCGCTGTACCCCTTTGTCTTTCCCTCTAAACCCTTTAAAAGTTTTTTTTAAGAACCGGGGATTGAACTCAGGCCCTTGTGCTTGCCAGGGAAGCGCTTATTCCACTGAGCCATCTCTTCAACTCCTAAAAGTTTTTTATGTGCTAAGTTATATATAACAAAATTTACCAGTTTTGATCATTTTTAAGGGTGTAGTTCAGCATATTAAATGCATTCACTGTATAATGCCATCATCACCACATCTCCAGAACATTTTTATCATCACAAATTGAAAGTCTGTACTCATTAAATAGTGGCTCACACTAACTGCTCTCTCCAGCCACTCATAACTGTTATTCTACTTGCTGTCTCTATGACAGTGTCTGTTCCCGGTGCCTCAGAGAAGTGCAACCACATAGCATTTGTGCTTTGGAGTCTGGCTTACTTAAAGTAATGTTTTCTCTGTTGTATCATGTGCCAGCCTCTTCATCTTGATAGGGTGGCATTGTGTTTAATAAATGCTAACAAAGCACTGTAAGGCACCAGGCATTGCGTGTACCATGTGCATATCCTTTGGTCCTGCTGTCACCTTTTGGTTGTCCATTTCTGACATTGGTGGGGACTTAAATGAATGGCGCTTACTCTTTTTTTTTTTTTTCTTGTGGTACCAGGGATCAAACTCGGAACCCTGAGCTTGCCAGATAGGTGCTTATGCTGCTGAACCATCACCATGGCTCAGCACTTATTCTTTGTGGCTGTCCCATTCAGTCTGGTCTCAGCTTCCACACAATATCTCTTTAGATGTTCATGTCCATTAGGGATTTAAAGTTTCTCTATGTTGATGATTTTCTCTGGGAGACAAAGCTGGGAAGTAAATTTCAGCGTGGGTACAAGATTCACTTTACCTCTCTTGTTGATTCCAGTCTCAGGTTCTCTTGTTACTAACTTCAAACCTAATATCTATTTCAGTGAAGAACATCCCAGCTTCAGCAGTGAACAGCATGGATATAGGAATTCAGGTTAAGCACTGGGAAGACAATGAGAACCCTGAGGGAAGAGACATACAAACCCCAGCTTCACTACTCCTCAAAGGGGGCTCTTTCCTGGACCACAATGTAGACTCTGCAGTTTTTTTTGGCCAGGCTGACCCCAGAGTTTTGTCAGTGACAGTCCTTGCTAAGCTCCTGCTAAGTCACCCACTCCACCTTGATAGGTGATCAAATTTCCTCATCCCTCAGTCCTTGGCCTGCCTGAAGCAAGACACCTGTTAGTCAGTTTAGGAAGAATCTGAAATGTTTGATGCTTGATGTATCCTTGCAGTAATTTTCCATCCACTGATACCCTCACCTACTGTCTTTGCTATCATCAGAGTTGAGCACAGTCAGCCTCTCCTTTTGTGACCATCATGACCTCTACTGCAATAAGCTTGAATAGCCTTTGCTGGCTTACAAGGTATCAGGATGATTTTCCCATAATGTTCCCAA